TCACGCGCCATATCGTTACTTGGGGAGAAAGGGGGTCTCTGGTGGAGCCATGTGCTATGCTGGATGTCTGCTTCGAACTGTTGCAAAAGCTCAGGGAGTAGTTTCCTTGTCATCTTGCGAGGCTGAACTTCATGCTTTGCAGTACATGTGTCAAGAGAGCGTTGGGCTTACTTTGCTGCTTGAAAGAGTGCTGTCAAGTTTGAATGGAGCCACTGTGACCATCACAAGTCAGGCTCATGTTGGTGATTGGATAGAGGATGAGGCGGCGAGTGAATGGGAAGGCACTCAGCTTGTTACTGACTTGATCAGTGACAGTCAAGCTGCCATCGACCTCTTCAATGGTCAGGACGTCCCGAGGAGGTCCAGGCACGTTGAAATACGCCTTCAGTGGATGAGGTCTAAGATGGCCTCGGGGGAGGTACGCCTGGAATGGATCAGAGGGACCTTGAATCCTGCTGATATCTTCACTAAAAACGTCACCACCGCCTTGCTTAACCTTCACCGAAGCCGATTGGGTTTTGTGACTGTGCGCGATAGTCCAGCAGAAAGCCTGTTTGAGTTGTCGTTGCAGCGTGGCAGGATTGATGTGCACCAGGAAGCCCATGTTGCACTACTTGAGGTGTGTTGCTCAGTGGACTCTGAACTTGCGCAGGAGTGTCGTCGACAGAACATTCCGTATGCAGGTGTGGTTCAAAGCATGCAAGAACGTCATTTGTACAACCAGGCTTGTGACGTGGTGAGGAAGTGGCATGCTTGTGGACGACGGGCGCACATTCACCTGTGCAACATAGTGGTTTTGGTGGCTGCTTTTCGATATGATGTCACAACTACAGCTGTTGTGAGGCAGCGGCCAGCATGAGAGATGATCTTCATATCACCCCCAAAGGGTGGAATATTGTCACGACTACTGCGGGATGATTTGGCGCGAGGGAAGATGAACATCTGGAGGCACAGTCTTGTATCTCCATTGGGATCTTCGCTTTACAGAAACACTATGCCGGGCCATATGCGGTGGGTCGTTTGGGTCGTTTGATGAGCCATCCTGACCGAGCATGGAACAAGCGTGCTGCGGTTCCGGATAAACACTCCGTGCCGTGGTGCCTGCGTGTCAAGACCGCCCACACACAGCAACGACTTCTGCACGTTTGTCTCTTCCCGCGTGTGTGTTGCTGAGTTTGTGTGTCGGTGCGAGATGTTTCAGGATGCCCATTTCAGCGATCACGTTGGCTTCATTCTGGCCTCTCCGAGGTATGCACCTTTATAGTTGCCATCGCGTTCGCAAGAAACTTGTAGTCGAGAAGCATGCAACTGCTTTGGCTCCAAGCACGTGGGCTTCCTCGTTTGAGAGGCTGCTGCACTGAGCTATCTGATCTAGTTGTGCAGTACGTGATGAGCGAAGCCAACGACGAGGAGGCCAAGATGGCCAGCAAATTGCTGAAACCGACATCCCCGGACTTCAGCAAAGCCTGGGTCGCCGAGCAGAGCTTCTTCCAAACCCCTACCTGCTCAAAAAAGGGTTCTGCCACTCGGCTGAATCATTGAAAGGCTTAGGGAAGTTTATTGTTTAGGGTGCGATTTCCATTTGGTGCATTGCATGGCGAGCTTGCAACTCTCGGTAACTTCGCTCGGCATGGAAACATCTGTCCAGCGCTGCATGTCGCGACAGGTTGCGATTGGGCTGCCGCGCTCTTCGCCTCACGCCTGGCAGGAGGTTAAAAAGAAGGCAATGCTTGCGCAACACTTAACTTGACTCGCGAAGACTATCATGGGATCGCTAACAATACGCACGAAGGAGTCGATGCAGCAAAGGTGCACACCACAAGTGCTCAAATGCCTTCAGCAGGCCGCAATGGCGCAGCAAATCGCGTATTGCGTCAGCAACAATTTTGGCGATGGTGACAGATCTGCTCAACGTAGACTCTGTGTAGTTTGGAGGAGAACCCAGCGTAATTTTAACAAGAACTCCATTATCATCAATCATCGTCGTCATGTTCGACACGCACGACAAATAGGTTCTAAACACGCTCAGCAACACGGTGAAGGGTCAGTTTGTCTGCAGTTGTACCACTCTTCACTCAAGACTTGACACTGACAACGGCCTAAGTTCCCAATGAAGCTCTCGAGGATGTTGTTCGGGTTGTTGGTCGCCACCTCGTTGTAGAAGTTCTGGAGGGTGGCTGCGAACGGGTTCGAAGGAGCGATGTCACTCATGGCCTTTGTAAGGGACTGCTCGCGATCTTCACGAGTTCGCTTCGCGCCACCACCAGCCTCGACAAACTTCGACTGCACGACCTCGAAAGAGATGTTTTGTAAGTGGAGAGCGGCTTCCTCTTGATCTGTGAATGCTCTCCCGCTTTCCAAGCTCATGCTGAATTCGCAAAGGTCGCCGACAATGATGACTGTTCGTCTCATAGCTCTTCAAGCATTGACGTTTCAATTCCCACGAAGTGAGTGCAGGAGAATACTTTTCGTGGAACAACAACAGGTCGGTCCTTCTGCAAAACACCTGAAAGGCCATCGCCAGTCGGGTAGCCATACTTGCATGGAGCATTCTCAACTGGTTCGGAGCCCGAAAACCTTAGTTCAGTCATACGCACGGCAGTCGAACCTGCCGATTCACCGCAAACTCAAGCTGCGCACAGAAGCCTTTTTTGCCGGCGGCTCACTGGCAGACGCTTGCTCCTGCAGCTTGGGCATTGGGTTTACGGATATTGGGTTTGGGTTTAAGGAGAATTAACACGGCTTCCAAAGAGGGGCGGCCCTAATCTGTTGTGTAAGTGTTAAAGTACTCCCTTCAGGACGATCTCCCTTCACATCTTGGCAGTCCTACCAGAAAAGACAAACCATGTAAATCCTTAGAGAACCCACAAAAGCTTATGATAAAACTTTTGAACAGGATCAATCGCTACATGCCAGACTACTTCTTACCGACAGATGAAACGCCGACAGATCAGGGCCAAAAGCAACGGGTCAGATTTCAGGGCTACTACAAGACTTAGGGTTCCTATGACAAAAGCGTCTACAAAACTTATTCTTCGGTTTTCTGAGGAACTTGTAAGGGTTTAGGGTTGTAGGGCTTAGCGCTTAGGGTGAAAAGTTTCAGTGAGGTGGCACTCTCAATTCTGCCAAGTCTGCTCTGCCGACAGAGTCCTTAAACCTCTTCAAAGCTCTATACCCCAGACCCGAAGAGCCCCAAAACCCTACAGTAGGCACTTAAGAGCCCTCGCCCCAGACCCCAAGAGCCCTAAACCCCAAACCCTAAGCCCTAAACCCTCAAGCCCTAAACCCTAGGCATCGCTGTTAAACGCGCGAAACGAAGCTCGAGCCCAGCACTCCAAGCGAAAGCCTGCTCTCGAGCACCCTTATATTGCGCTCCGGGGGGGGGGGGGTGTTTAAGTTTTAGGGGGTTAGGGTTTTAGGATTTAGGGTTTAGGGTTTAGGGTTTAGGGTTTAGGGTTTAGGGTTTAGGGTTTAGGGTTTAGGGGCTTAAGGTTTAGTTGCGGTTTAGGGTTGAGGGTTTGGGATAAGGAATCCTAGAAGCCCCAGCACGCCACGTCGATGAGCCGCTGCCGCCGTGCCGTAGCTGCAGCCTTCGCAGTGGCACTGCAGGCTTGGGGTTCTTGGTTTATATAGGGTGTAGATGGATTTAAGGCTTAGGATTTACAGGGTTCCGATGAGGGTTGCGTTCCTTTCAGGGTCTGGAGCTTAGGTTTAGGGTTTTGGTTTGGGGTTGAAGGATTATACAGTCGAGGCTCGAAATCCATACGTGCAAATGGGAGCTACGCAACAGAATCCCTATATATGATGATTTAGCGCATTAAAGATTTCATGGTTAGCTGCGCAACAAAGCACTCTATATACTAGTCTTTCAGCGCTTAGAGAGTTTTTGGCGAGGTGTGCAACAAGAACCCCCTTACATACTCGTTGTGTAGGGCTTCGACATTTCGTGGTCTTGCTAGCCCGTAAAGGTACGAATAATAACTTCTACCCCTATAGCTACTTACCCTCATAGTATATCAACCCTCAGAAGGACCTTTACAAGCCGCTGTTTTCCTCTAGCAATCTTGGAGAAGGGTCGGATAAGTTACTGGGGTCCATTTGGGGGGGCAAACAGCAGGAGGTCTGAATGATCGGTAGGTAACACAACCCCCACTATAGCCCTACGTTCTTGCAGTACAACGTTGTATCCCAAAACCCAATTCCTCTGACAGAGGGCCGTGTAGTACGCCTATCATGGCCTGCATGTCCTGAAGCTGCTGCTGCCGAAGGTTCCTCCTCTGCATCGGGGTTTAGGGCTTCAGGGCTGGTTTATAGGGTTTTAAGTTTAGTTATAGGTCTCTTAGGGCTTATATTGGGCTCTTCAGAAAGGTCGTTGTAATCAAAACTTGAACCTTCGTTTTCACTGGAACATTGCCGTCATTTCCTTGTCGTGTGCCCAACTGGTCCATGTCTCTTCTCAGCATGGGCACGTGCCCGCAGCCTGACTCGGATATATTTAAACTAACACCATCCCAATCCACTGGCTCTCAACCTGCAACGCCCACAGATTTTGAGCGTCCTGCGCGTTGGTGCCGGCGCCAAGGCCGGAATCTGTCTCGCCCTGGCTGAAGATTCTGGCAAAACTGCCACAGCAAGCAGTACCAATCAGCACTGGCAGGACCAACAATAATGATGCTGTTTGCACCTTAGTTCACATTAGTCATACGAGGACAATACGGGTTATGTTATTCCGTGCGAAAGCTTCATGTGATATAGCGGCACGGGTCATTTCAGGATTCCAAGAAGACGTCTCAGCAAGGACTGCTCAGCTTGTCATCGGACTCGGGTCCTCACACCCGTCTCTCAGGAGAAAATGAAGAGCCATGTGGCCCACTGACAGTCTTCTGCACATAAAGCTTTGCAGTGCAAGACACCTGTCGTAGATGATGCAAGTCAGTTCAGGGCGACCACAGAATTATATCACACAAGCGAAACACAGGAGAAGACAAATCCCGTGAGGTCTATCCTTCCAGCACCACGTACGAGACCCTGGTCACAAACTTGCATGATGAAACTGGGACAGAGTCCTGATGCATGCCCACCTGGTTCCCAGGCACGCGTAACGCATCGGTGACATCGGTTGCCTTAAACGTTTAAGGCTTAACCCGGGCCCGACGGGCATCGTGCCCGCGCGCCTGCTGCATGTGGAAATCAGACAGGTGAGGATGTCGATCTGCAGTCTCCGCCTCAAAGCAAGAAGCGCCGCAGAAATCTAAATCTGGCGGCGCGGGGGCATCAGCACGGTGACTGTCTGCCACCATTCCTTGCAATTGTTGCAAGGATGCTTCGCAATGCACCCAGTCCCGACCATGCGGATACTTGAAGTTTATCTTGTCATGGTCTGCACTTGATGACGGGAAGAGACCTGGCGGACACGTGGAGTCGCTGCGAGTCGTCGACGTCAACTGGACTTTCTTCCATCGACTCTTGTCAACGTCAAGGATGCAAAAATTCCTGCCCTTCTTTACTGTTCCGGCGTCCAAGTCATCTCCAAGGCATAGCACGACTTCGTTTGTAGTATCATCAATAGTCAAGTATGGCTTGTTGACGGGGCAAAGGAATTTGCGAGCTGCCTTCCAAGCACCCCAAAAGCCAAGTGCTGCCACTGCCAGCTTCCAGTAGGCTTTCACAAACTCCAGCAGACCTCGGGTTTGCTGAGCACCCTGAAAGAACAACAAGTACAAGGTACGGCGCTGAACTTGCCCGGCCTTGACCAGACGCGGGAGTCTCACCTTGCCCCTCTGGTGCGCTGGCTGTCCTGGGCACGTAGGGATAGTTTGGCGATGCAAGCTGCGGCATCACATCTTGCTGTGTTCCATGGTCCACTATGGTGTAGCTGCCGTCGACACCGGAAGGTGGCAAAGCCTGCCTTGGCTGCATCGGAACTCACAAGCAAGAAAACATCTGTCCTGATGCCAGTTCCCTGTTTGGGAGGCATCGAAGTTCCCAGATTTCAGTCAAAACAAGAGCGCCATCTTTCCACAACAAAATTGCACTCCCATCCGGACACCACCACTGAACGAAACAACCCAGGCTGCTGCGATCCTTGTCCGGGCATGTAGGTGTCATAAACATGCGTTGGTGGCGCAGCTCCCATTTGCCCATAGGGATGATCCCTCAGATTTTTCAGATGATTCTCTTCACAGTCAAGAACAATCCCTATGTCTTGAACAGCACGAAGAAAAGACTACTCCCTATCCCACGCGGGGAATGTACTTCGATTCCCCACTTCTTCGGATAGAACATGAAAAACCGCCAGCATTGGGGATACGTAGGTCTTCTGAACACTCTGAGGTTCAACGACTGCGCAGCTGCGTCCCAGAATGCTGAAGCACATAGCAACATGCAGGGTGACCTCACCTGGAAGAAAGCCATGGCTGCTGCCAGCTGGAAGAAAGGTCGTGAATAATCCGAAGCTCGACGGCTGCGCAGCTGCATACCCAGCATGCTGAAACACATTGCAACATGCAGGCATGATGCAGGATGACCATAATCAGCAAACAGCCACCTCGGAGGGCTTCTGCAAGTACTTGCTGGTGGTGTCGGCACAGGCTCTCGAAGCCTTTGCCGAAGCTTCACGAGGAAAGTTCAGATCCTTGATTTTCAACAATCAGAAAATTCAATTTTTGCCCGTCGCCTCTAGTGGCACTACTGGTACAAGGTTCGAGGTGCAGCAGTACAAGTTACTAGCTGCCCAGTGCTCGGTACTGGCTACAATCTACTGAATACTTGCATCACCTGACTCCCCAAAGCCGTAACCCTAAACCCCTATTCAGTAAGAGCTTGCAGCGTGAAGGAATCAATGTACCACGCCCCTGAGCAAAACCCTGGTAGGACCCACGAACCCGAATCGCGTCACGTCGATCCTGAAGATTCACGGATGTCACCAACGTCGTCGTGTTGGTGGTATGCATAGGCAGCTGTTTAAACTCGAAGATATCGCGTCTATCGAATGTCCTTACACCGACCCCTGCATCACGTCACCACCGGGCACGGCGAAAGGCGCGGAGCGAATTAGGACTGTCACCCGCGTGACAGCCTCAAGCGTTGCGATTTATGCTGTACAGTGGTGGCGTTCACCTGGCAGAAATACAAACACTGGCAATAGTCGCGCTTGCTTGCTTGGGTAGAACCAACAGAGCATGCGCAGAAGTGGTGTCTACTTACTGTGGTAGGATGTGTCGAAAATACCCCCAAGACATGAACTACAGGGAAGCTTATTGCATCCAGCCGAAGATCACTTGCCCCACCTGTGACTCTGCGTATCCGGCCCTCTTGCATCGTTTCCAAGAAGGCAAAGGCTCCCCTTTTCCCGGCTGGACTTGAAGCCCTGGAGCCCAAGCCCCTAAGCCACCAGACGCCCAACAAAAACCAGGAGGTTCCAAAGCCTGAACACAATTAAGCCCGAAATTCTTGAACCCTAAACCCGAAACTGCAAAACCACACCCGAAGACGTTGATCTTGGCGGCGGTGTTGATCAAGCGACCGGCATGCCGAGAAGCCTCGTTCTTGGAATCTCCCGCAGAAATGGCACTCCCAAAGCGTTGGGCCACAGCACCTTCGTTGGATGGCTGCTGACAAGTCAGAACAGATGCATGGCCCCTCGTGCTGCTTCGAGTCTTCAGAATCCCTCTGTTGATGCAGTGGCGCTGTCTGTCTTGCAAGGGGCTCGAGCTTTCTATCCAGTTGCTGCGAACCTCGGAACGATCAAACAAACACGAAGCTCGCAACTTGTCAAGCTGGTGAACTTCCTGCATGCCGGGCGGCACGTTTCTTGCAACACGCGGGCCTGCTCCTCGCGTATGCTGCAGCATGGACTGACCATCACGCATCATCAATTACATATGCTTTGAACTTTGAACCTTCAAGTTCCGAGTTTGGGCTTGGTCCAACATATGCACACAGGGATTCAGGAGCTTAGAAAACTTCTGCACTTACCACGCGCGCAAGCAATCTTGACGGCATCCACAGCTGCGGTCGGCTCTCCCCAAACTAAACTCATTCTTCTCCTGCTTCTGCGAGTGTATATAGTTCAAATTCCAGATGCGATTCAACAGCGCCACAGTTGTGCAAGATCCCGCATCTGCGCCTCAGTGAAGTGCCGCGCGTTGCCACGCAGCACGCGAAGCATCCGCGCGCCAAGGGCTTCCGAGGCCCCATCCGCAAAATCCTAAGATCCGGCGTGTCGCCGAGCAGATAGCATTTGTTATGACTATGACGTGCCATGTCTGTCTAGCGCAGGTTTTTCCAGCCTGAAGCTGGTACACCGGAGGCCCAGAGATGAAACGAGGTCATAATTATAGGATCTTATAGGGCTCCACATCTTATCGTCGCGTGAGGAGCTATTCTCTGTGCCGATTGATACCTCTGAATTCAATCCGAGCTGAATGCACGTGAGCCTTTATTTAACTCAAAAGCCAAACTGTTCTCTACCGCCTCTGATACCCTTCAAACTCCGGCAAAGCTAGCTTACAGGCTTGGAGTCCTTTCCAATTAGAGTAGGGCTTCTCTACCAGGTTTCCTCAAAGTTTCTTTACAGCGTTACCGTGAGGGCTATTGTAGGGTTCTTGTACAAAGGGCCTGGATAACTCGAATGGGGTTTAGCGGTAAACTATATTGAACATATGAAGGACCTGCAACGAATAATACTCGTGCGTACTATAAGGCCCCTACATTGCTTCTCGTCGGCCTGCTTGTGCCACTAACTCTCCTCACTACTGTTCCGATTGCTGATCCTTTGCCTCTGAAGCTTTTAAAGTACTGCTACCATTGTTGCTGTCAGTAAGTTGCTAGCGCTGGTTCTATGGCCATCTCTAGAACTCCTTCTTCTCCTTGTTATGGCTATTAAATTTCTAAGACTTGCCATATGAACATGACTAGTGACTCGTATTATGACATGCAACGACCACAAGCCTTTCCAGTCTTACGACCGCTCTACTAACTTTGATATGGGCTTTGCGGAGATTTGTAAATGGTGCCTAGCACCTGGACGCGCTACGCGGAGCTGATGGCAGCCCCAGTTCAAGCAGGCACGGCTACGAAATCCAATTTCCTTGCAGCTGGCTCCGCCGGCATCGCTAGCACCTGCATAGCGGCGCCGGGCAATGTCTGGAGAACCCTCATTTAGTTGAAACACTGCTGCGTTGGTAAGGACACTGAGCAAGTAGGACCTTCGCAATTGCGAGTATACGGACCCAAAACAGAAGGTATCTTCTGCTGGATCTGGTATAGAAAGCCTGTAGGAAAGCCTTTAGCAGCCTGTGCAACGAAGCATTGGCATAGGCATGCAGATCGCACGTACACAAGGCTCTGCAGAAATTCCTCAGACATGTTGACGCTGATACGAATGGAACTTGTGGTTCGCTCTGGAGGCTGGGTTTTTCACAAAATTTTTATAATCCAATTAGGGTACTTGTAACCGCACTTACTAAGTCCCATGATCCTCTAGGTGAGACTGCGAAAACGAAGTGCTGCTCTCTCTTGGGCTTGTGGTAGAAGCCAGAAAGTTGGAACATTAGCTTCCAAGGTAACAGTATAAGGAATCTTAGCAGGTCCTTATCATCCTTAAGCCATGTTCCAACTTTCGAGGGTTCACTGTAGACTACACACACAGCTCAGATGAGAACATTAGGATTCGACGGGACGGCCGCAGCATCACCAAGAGTTACTGGCCACTGTCGCCCCAAGACTTCTTCCACTCGCTGCTGTTCCCTGCATGCTGCTGTTCAGGGCGCCGACCATCATGGTCTTTCTGATCCCATGTCCACTTGTCTTCCTGGCCTTTCCAGGAAGAGCTGGACTCTTTGCTGTTCCTTGCATGCTGGTGCTGTTCATGGCGCCACGGTCTTTCTAACCCCATGCCCACTTGTCATCCTGGCCTGTCCAAGAAGAGCTGGACCGACTCCCTTGGTCTTGGTCGCCTTCGCGGTCGCGGCCTTTGCAGCTGGGGCTGTGGTTCCACGATCCTGGTGATCTCCATTGCTGGCCGTCCAGGGCTTGTGGCGCTCATCCGCCAGTCTTGCCATTCGCTTCCCACTGGCAATCCAGAACCCCATAATCCCTCATAGCAACCCTTATAGTAACCCTTCTCGCAACGCGTAGAGGAACCTTTTTTTTTCGCAAGGGACACTCAAAGTGGGGTCGCCGCTGCCCGATATGCTGCATTTTGACATGAGTCCAGCCAAGACTTTACAAATAGAATACAAGGACTCTGGCACTACAACGCATGTGGAAGTCGCGGAAACAAAGATATATCTGTGCCATAACGCATGTGAAAGGAGCATAAACAAAGGTAAAGCTGTGTGCTCAGGAGCCGCCATCCGCGCCCGCCGCAGCAAAAGAACACTAGGAGAACACGGACTGCGTCACAGCGTGACAATTGCCCGAGCAGAGCAAAGCCTGTCGACTACGAGGCCTTCCCTTGTCAACCCGAGCACACGGCAGGCCCACGCCATGGACTGTCTATCAGCCCCCCTGACACCGCGGCGCCCCGGGCGACCACCCCAGGAGGCCGAAGCAATCAGAAGGCAAGGCAATGACGCCTCCAACTCCGCGCGCCGCCGCAGGGGGAATGAGCGCACAACGACACTAAGCTCGCGAATCTTGCAGAGGGCCTGGCTCCGCGCCAGCGCGGGCAGCAACGGCCCCAGCAATCTGCTTGAGGACGCGGCCGGCGCCAGCTTCCCGATGCCCAGTCGTTTCAACAACCAGAAACGAACTGGACACCTTGCGCTTGGCGCGCCGCAGTCGTACCAAGGTGGTGCTCCTTGTGGCGGGCATAAGCCTCCGCCGCGGCTCTGGCCTGTATGCTGGCCTGAGCAAGGGTCGCCTGTTGCTGCGGCGCCGTGACGGCGAAATCAAACGCAACAGGTCCAAGTGAGGCAGGCAAGTACAAGTCGGCGGGGCGGCGCCCTCCAGCCCTCGTGTCTTCCAAGGACTGCGGCAGCAACAGACCTGGGCGCTCACGTTCAGGATGCAGGCAGGCTCGTTGTGCCCAGGTAAACACAGCGTCACGAATTGCTGGTAGCAATGAGGCCCCTAAGGCCCAAACTCAGCGCAGCGCAGAGCACGGATTATTGTTCAAAGACCGTGCTTGTTTTGCAACGTCGTGTCATGTTTGAGCACTTCAAGTGTAAACACTCTCACACTCAAACATCAGTATGCTCGCATCACTAGGCTCGCACTCGACTCTTTTCACATGATGGGGAATCAGTACCGAGCACGGCTGGTTGGATCTCAATCCCTCCTGTAAGACCCAAGACTGTTGTCAAGTCTCGAAATGTCCTGTGAGACACAAGGCTCCTTCCCCCCACTCACCTGAGCCGTGCGTCAAACTCTCAGCTGCGAGGCTCTCTTTACAATCGCCGAAACGATCTCGCCTGCCTCGAGTGATTCATCCTGGAATCCTAACTTCCTAACCAAATCAAGTTGCAACCTTGAAGGTTGATCCGCTAAATTCGCGGGCGAGGCAACCCTTGCGTACCACGGCAAAATGCCGTGAACATACTCCAAGAAGTTCGCTTCATCGACCAGCATTCCAGCAACTCCTTTCTTGGCAGACCCCGAAATGTAAGCATGTCGCGCCGCATCATTGTCGAGGTAAATGATTACCCCAGTTCCAGCAGTCGCTCCATGCTGGGAATATGATTCAGCGAAGGCTGCGGTCTTGTGCGTCAGTAACTTTAAACCAACCAAAACCCCGAGCATTTACAACTCATAGATAATGGTTTGCTCTTCCTCTGTAGATAAGGGCGGAAAATGTAAATTACATTTTCGGGCTCGGGGGACGAGGAGAAACAGTAAATGTAAAATCCTATGCGAGCACAGCAAAGAAGTGCACACTGACAGAAAAAGCTACCTACCCCCCCCCCCCCCACAGTCCACCCCTTCTGCCACAACCCGGAAAATGTAAAAAATATTGTTTTGCATATATGCGCCCCCCCCCCCCCCCTATTTACATTTATTAAGGGGTGGGGGATTAGACAACGCTTGAGTTTGTAGGTCAGAGATCGGCACACTGAAGAACGACAGTGCTGACCCACTCCCTGTAAGGAGCACACCACGGCTGCATCAGTAAGCATCATGAAAGATCTGCAGACACCTGTCCCACCAACCTGGGTTGAGCAGCGTCCAAGAATTTGCTAAAATCTTCCAAAAGGTCTTTGGTGTATCCCGGAATTTTCCGTCTACCACCATAGGCGTGTCTCGCGATTTCAACCAAACACCTCCTGCCCAATCTGCCAAAGAATTGGGCTTGGGCAAACTGCAACCGGCCCCTCAGCTGTAAAGCTTCCTTCTGGCTCATTGAACCATTCTCCAAGAAACCCCTGATGGCGGCTACCAGTTCGCGGCGCCTTCGTTCTGTGTTCCTGACCTTCAAGACCCCTGTCCCTGTCTAATCCAGCTCGAACAAAACGCCTAACGCTTCGAAGTTCGTACTCCACTCGGTAGCCTTGTCTGATGACAACTTCCAGCCTAGATGTTTCATGACCTCGTCGAAGGTGTCCGAACATGAACTCCTGTCACCACTCAATGCGAGGAGAACAAAATCGTCAAAGTAACTCGTCGTAGGGATCCGAGCTCCTTTAACCAGGATCGTCCAAAGTGCCCTCGCAACCCTCAAAAAGAAATACACTGCTTTCGTGGCACCAAAAGGCACTGCCAGTTGCTGGAACAGCTTGGGCTTCCCCTCGGCAGGGTCGTACACTGCCAAGTACGAGAATCTCAAACCTTCATCCGAGATGGCCAACTGCCGATAGGCGCTTCTGAGATCGGCAGTCTTCCCGAAGAGCTCCAACAGGCCTTTCTTCCTAGCTGCTTTCGACAGCTTGGTAAT